AGAGCAGGTCACTGTGATATTATATTGAGAGGCTCTCTCTCTGTCTAAATCAATGTTTGTTAGAATGCTATAGAAACCATTTGATGTATTTTCAATTATAAAAGGTAGACTATCACTCAAAAAACATCTAACCACTCCGTTAATATCCGAGTCAGCATCATGCACATTCATAACAGCAACAACTGTTTGAAATGTTGAATCCTCCGGTATAGATTGTGTAGTTGACATCAGGTCTATTATTGGAGCATTGTCATTCACATCAAGAATGTCAAATATTATTTTGCATGAGTCAGTGAGCCCACCTTGATCTCTTGCTTTAACATTTAACTGATAATGTTTTGATGTTTCATAATCGATTTTGCCAATCAAACGTACCTCCCCACTTGTTCCGTGTATTTCAAATAAATCCAAAATTCCCTCAGCGTTACTCGAAATAGAGTAAGTTACTAAACCATTTGTGCCTTGATCTATATCTGTGGCTGTTACAGTCATGAGTGAAGTTCCCTTCTGGGAGTTTTCCATTAAACTAGCTTTATATGTTGACTGCGTAAACACTGGGGCATTATCATTCGCATCTAACACAGTTACGTGAATTTGCACGGTCCCTGACAGCTGAGGTTCCCCTCCGTCGACGGCTGTTAATGTAAGAGTCAGTTGTTGTTGTTTCTCACGATCGAGAGGTTTCTCCAAGATCATCTCCACCTCTTTTTCTGCAGCTGCGTTTTCGTTGAGTTTTAAAATGAAATTATCAGTTGGGTAAAGGGAATAGCTCTTGAGACCATTTATACCAACATCAGAATCTAATGCTCTCTCTAATTCAAATCTGGCCCCCCTGACAGCAGATTCGCTGATCTCAAATAACATATTATTCATTTTGAAAATAGGGGCATTGTCGTTTATATCTGTTATTTCTACCGTAACGCGAAAGAACTCAATGGGGTTTTCCAAAATCATTTGGAAATGTACAGCGCACGGAGTCGTTTGTTCGCACAACGCCTCTCTGTCTATTCTCTCTTTGATAAGGAGGACTCCCTTTTCTTTATTCAACTCGATGTATTCAGCGCTGTTTCCAACATGCAGACGAGCTCTTCCTGTTTTCAGCCGTTTCACATCTAAACCTAAATCTTGAGCTATGTTACCGATCAACGAGCCTTTTGACATTTCCTCTGGAATAGAATAGCTGACCTGCCCAAGCACAGAACGGAGAGAGAGCATCGAGATAAACAATAGTACTTGCCGTCTCATTGTTTCGTTCAACGATTCTCAAAGATCACAGCGAATCACAAAATAATCCGCAGATAAAACAATCTTATTCCACACACTGGATGATTAAGAATGAAGAGGCGTCGATACAAATGTTGATCAAAATATTTCCAACTCCTTTTCCCGTGTGTAGTGTTCTCGGTAATTCGGACCGTGCATTGTGTCGACCTTTCTTCCAGCAAATCTAAATGATCTGGGAGGTGCCGCTGCAATCTGCAGTGAAACAACCACACATTGACCAACAGCGTCCCTAAGAGTACATAACAAGAAACTACACAACACTGGGACAAAAAGGAGTCCAAGCGTTGTAAGATTACACAGTTATTATTCCAAGTGCTGGAAAAAATCGCACTGTACAGAATGATTCTCCCTATTGTCAAACTCGTGTTGAAAAAAAATGTGAAAGCACAAACAATTAAAAGAAAAAATAAATACATAAAAAACTGTATAAATTAAAAACAACTGTACCCCACTAGTTGCGGCTGGTACGACATTTTACTGAGCAAAAGTACACCAAGAAAACGCAGTCTTAAACACACACACACACACACACAATGTCGGACAGACATCAATTCCATTCGGGTAATTACTCCCTGGAGTTTGTGAATATCACGGCTTTGGTTTTGCTTTGGGCTTTCTGGGGAAGTGAAAAGCAATTTGTCTGTTTATTAGTATTTGTAGCGTGGAGAATGACAAAAGAAAGCTAGAAATTGAAAACTGACAAAGTCGTGATCGTCTGTCTGTTTGGTACAAGTTTGACCAAAGAGAAGAAGTGTGGAAATTTCAGGTTATGATTTTTATATAGTTTTTTGGGTTGAGGATGGAGAGGGCTCCATTGCAAAGACTGGACAAAAATCTTCTGTGCAATACATCCGTCACAGTAAATGGACTTCTGACCACTCCCAATGCCTCACAACACTTCACATTCACTTACACATCCTAATGGCAACCTGCTCATGAGTGATAAGGTGTTTCCAATCTAAAGTACTCATGATGATACTAAAGGCTGATTTATAGTTGGCTGTATGTCGAGCCTACGCAAGTGACCTACACCACCATGAACAGTTATACTTGTGCGCTCAATGCGGTTGGCGGGGGGAGGGGTGTCCATGCCACCGTGTTGAGTTTATTTATGTACTTAACTGAAACTCTCCCTCGTCTCTCTCCTCAATCTGTCTCGTGTCTTCGCCGTCCGTGAACTGAAAGGACGAGGCAATGCAAGGAGACAGACAGGAGCATGTCGTGCAGCGATGCGGCATCCCATGTGTGCCTGTTAGTCTGAGTAGGTGTGTGTGTGTGTGTGTGTGTGTGTGAAGAGGGAACAGCATTATTAACTCATCTGGGTGTTTTCATGAGTCGCTCCCATTCTCAGACAATGCACACACACACCGAGTGGACCAATCACAGTTGTCACCACAACGTGTAGTTACATTTCTCTGGAGCTGCCCGTCAGGCCCTGGTGAAGACTGTGGCGTATGGTACAATGCTACACACTCACACACTGACAGCGCAGCCATCAGGAGCAGTTTGAGGTTCAGTATCTGGGAGAACTCCTCCATCAACATCCCGGATCCTCGACATGTAGATCGTGTTCCAAGGACGAGAGGAGGTGGACTCTGTGTTTCCATTGTTGATGCTTGGTGCACAAACGCAGACAAAGTGGATGGACACTGTTTCTTTGAATTCTTTTTCTGAATGTAGAATGAGGGCACTGGAAACTTTATTTTGTTGTACAACCAGACCTTCATCTGCCCGAAGAAGCTAGAAGGCTAAACAGCAAAATAATCCTTGAAAAAACTAACACACAATGAAATAAAAAGTCTGGGAAGCATGAATTAAACACAACAATTTAATCACAGTTCCTTCATTAAAACAGGTTTTCAAAACTTTAAAAGAATTTTAATTGAGTCAGGATGGTAACAAATGTCTCAATGCCATTTCCTGAAGATTAGGTGCTCTTTAAACTCACCAAATGTGATCCACAATTTGTACAAAACATAATGAAAAAAGCTGAAACGAAACAATAAATGCTAAGAAATATCACACGTGTTAAGGCTTTTGCTCCTTCATCTGCCTCCAAACACCAGCGGCCTGTTTCATTCCACAGGTACTCACACATTCACACCCTCACTCACACTCCTTCCCACAGTCCAAACCCTCCTGCATACTGATCCTACCTCTTGGGGCCAAATATATGGGTGTAATCACTTGACATGTTTGATGTGCTCAAGATGTGTGAAGTTTACAGCTTCAAAAGAGGACCTATCGTACACTTTGCTTCAGATTAATCAAAGGATCGAGTGGAGAACGGCTAACAGGCTCGCACTCCTGCCAGTCTGTCTGTGTGCCTGTTGGTATTATAAAGTCAGTAAACATTATCATTCACTGTCTGCTGACAGATAGATGCTCGTTATGGAAGGAGAAAAGTAAAGAAGTAATTTCAGCTCGGTTCTGATATGAATGAACGAATGAGTGAATGAATGAATGACTGGGAGAAGGGTGTGACTGTGTGTTGTCACAGCTGTGGCTCATTTTACTTGACAAACTTCACTTTGCAGAAGTTAAAGGCATACTAGGAACAATGTACAGACTCAATCATCACTCCTCTGGGAGTGTGTGACTGTCTGTATCTGCAGAGGCCCTGCAGCCCAGTATTTTCTTATTTTGTTGTGTTCGGGACACTTCTGCTTCTGTTTGTAATTTTGATTAACTTTAACTCATGTTTGGTGTTTTTTTCCAAATTAACCCGTTCATATTTATATTTCTGAACTTTAAAGTTTGATCATCTGACAGCTCTTGTTTCTTTTATTGCAGGATTGTTCCAGTGATGTCGCCACGTCCACAGATCTGAGCACTTTGGTTGGTGAGTACAGTGCTCTGTTTAGTAACTATTAGATCAGAACGTTTTGCACCATGCACCAGCTTAATATTAGGCATTAAGTACCACCATCACGACTAAACACAGTAGCCCAACCCTATTCTGCTACGGACAGTTGAAGGAACTGGTGGAAATGTGGTACTCCTGCTCCACATTAAAACCCCCAATAGTTCCTGTTTGGATCAATGATTGATGATTCCATCACATTTTAGGTCCTAACTAATCGTAGATGTATGCTTGCGCTATGTTCATGAACGTGACTACGTGCAGGCTGATATTGAAACAAAATATTACAGGAAACTTATTTTAAATTACATTTCAATAATTCCAAGTATTTTTTACATTTTGATAATAGTTATATGTTTTTAAATGAATTTATTTTATTAAAAAAATCAAAGATTCCTCTGCATAGAAGTACACATACAGTAGTTTCAGAACCAGTGCATTAGGTTGTTGACGCCTACTATTGGCAAGCAGTGTTGGGGTGTTTTTTTATCCCCAAAAAAGTAATGTATTGCACATTACTCATTACTTTTTCAAATTTGCTGGAAAATGAATTATGGTTGCTGTTGGAGATATTGAGTCATAAGCCAAGATATGAAGGGGATTTTCCAACAATAGTTTTATAAATGAACTGATAAAAGTGGATCTGTTGCCTGGCATGGAGTGATGGCCAGTTGACTTGAGAATATAGGTTACAGTGATGAGTGTTGAAAGGGGCACCAGTGACAAACAGCAATATAGTAGATGACGTTCAGTGTACTGAGAAGATTTTTTAGGCACACCTGTAGAATAATGAGGACTAATGATGAATAAAATCATGAAAGGTTTGTTAGAGTGGCGGCACGATCTCGTCATCTCAGTTCTTTGGTGTAACATGGCTTCAAAACTAAGCCTGAGCTGTCTTCAAGTCACTATAATCCAGGTTTTGTCATTTTAACCAAGTTGTGCTTCGCAGAGCGGGTAACAGATGTTTTATTACGATACAGGAAACCACATTTGGCTCTGACTTTAGAGAGCATGTTGAAGAACATATTATAATGCAAGTAACAACAAGACATAATAGTATGATTGGTAACTGAAGTGTGATCACTGGATTTAGGAGTAATGTGTTATGTTACTGTGTTACAGACAAGTGTTATGTGATTACAGTAACGTGTTACAGACAGCCGAGGGTTAAGTGACTGACAGACTACACTCAGGTCAACAGCTGGTTAACACCGAACCAGCCAGCTCTGCCTGTCAGTCACCTGCAGAGAGAAAGCAAACAGCAGTAACACCGCAGCCGACAGAGTGGGAGGCCTGTCAGCATACGCACTCCACTGCGCTTCGCTGTTTCTATACGGCCGAGTCAGGTCAGCGTTTATTACAACCCAATATCACAATGTATGGCCCAAAGTGCAGCAAGACACAATGATTCATCCCAATAAATTCTACATAGTTTCCTCTTGTTTTCCTCCGTTTTCTGACGAAGATCATTAATCACAGCGAATGATTTTAGGGACAAATTATTTATTCACAGTGTGTATTCGTCTTTTTTTCCATCTTGCATAAGAATCATGGGTAATTTAAACAACGGAGGCTTCTCCAAATGAAACAATAATTGGCCAAATAGTGGACATGAATACATAGTCATATGATTAATTGAGAACCCCTGTGGAGAAGAACACGCAGACGTACACCCTTCAGTACATTCAGATTGTGTCCATTGCTTTGCTCGCGTGCGACTTGAAAAAGAACTTGGCTGAAGGACTCGCGGACATATTTAATGACACAACTTGCTGACAAAGCGACTACAAGATATCATGAGGCACTACTGGAAACTATTTTTTATTATTTAATGCTGTATTAATATTTAGACTTTTTGCAGATCGGGTAACACAACTGTCATCTTTACTGAATTATTCTTTAATAAACTTTATGAGCAGTTGTCATCAATCTGTGTTACAGGCCACAAATAATGAGTTTTTCTCTGGAGAAATTCCACCCGTTTGAGTCGCCTGAAAGTGTTTGGCTTCAGCTAGTCTCTCATATGACTTCAGTGTTGTTGGAACATTTAGCTCAGATAAACACTGAACATGAAGGACACACTGCAGTGATCAGTGTTCCCTTGCTGCCCAGTCCCAGGTCCCAGGTCCCCCTTCAGCCACGTTCAAACGCCTCTGTCACCTTAGTGACAAGTGGTGGGATCTAACCCTGCGTGTGCCCTTGTACTTCTATCTTTGTGAGGACCAATTTAAGACCTTTGGCCTTGAGAGCGAGGACACTTT